ACAAGTGCAAAGAAAATGATAGGATGGATGAAAACGTTCAAAACGAGAGATGCCAAGCCAATGATGATCCTTTTCAAATCACTTGTCCTCTCTACACTTGAATACTGCTGTACATTAACATCTCCGCTCAGAGCAGGTAGGTTAAATTGCAGATCTAGAGTGTACAGAGAACCTTTACTCCACGTATAAGTTCTATCAAGCACCCGAACTACTGGGAACGCTTGGAAGCATTTGAGTTGTACTCGTTGGAACGCAGGAGAGAGAGATGCATCATAATATACACTTGGAAAATCCTAGAAGGAATGGTCCCGAATCTGCACGCAGAAATCACTCTCTACGAAAGTAAAAGACTGGGCAGGCGATGCAAAATACCCCCAATTAAAAGTAGGGGAGCCATAAGTACGCTAAGAGAAAACGCCATAAGTGTTTGGGGCCCACGACTGTACAACAGCCTCCCACCAAGCATAAGGGGAATTGCCAATTGGCCCCTGGATGCCTTCAAGAGGGAGCTGGACAGATACCTAAAGTCAGTGCCGGATCAGCCGGGCTGTGGTTCGTACGTTGGACTACGTGCGGCCAGCAGTAACAGCGCGGTTGATCAGGCCCTGATCCACCGGGAGACCTGGTCGTGGACCGGGTCGCGGGGGCGTTTATCTCCGGAATAACCTCCAGTTAGACTCCAGGAAAGTCAGTGGGTGACGTGTGATTGGTGGGCTCCGTAACAGGTAATTGGTGGATGGGTGTAAATGGTGGATTAGCGGTGGGAAGACTATAGGTGAGCGGCTGCAAGTTACTAGGTAATGACAGCAATACAGTCATCACTGGTGACAGCGGGTGATATTACAGACACCTATTTAACGCAACAAGTCGAGGCAGTAGCTCAGCAGCTAGGTGAAGAGCACAGCAGCTGGGTGAAGGAGCACAGCAGAGGGTGACAGTCACAGCAGCTGGGTGACAGGAGCACAGCAGTGGTTGCACAGGAGCACAGCACTGGTGTGAACGCAAGCACAGCAGTGGGTCGACAGAGCACAGCAGCTAGGTGACAGGAGCACAGCAGCTGGGTGACAGGAGCACAGCAGCTGGGTGACAGAAGCACAGCAGCTGGGTGACAGAAGCACAGCAGCTGGGTGACAGAAGCACAGCAGCTGGGTGACAGAAGCACAGCAGCTGGGTGACAGAAGCACAGCAGCTGGGTGACAGAAGCACAGCAGCTGGGTGACAGAAGCACAGCAGCTGGGTGACAGAAGCACAGCAGCTAGGTGACAGGAGCACAGCAGCTGGGTGACAGAAGCACAGCAGCTGGGTGACAGAAGCACAGCAGCTGGGTAACAGTAGATGAGTTGAGAAGAGAAAGAAGGAAGAGTGGAAAGAGAAGTTAATGGGTTTTTATTGATGTGTTAGATTTTACATCTCTGGTTTATAAGATTGGAGTTTAGGTTCCAAGTCGTCGTAGGTCGTCGTCTTCTTCTTCTTCTTCTTCGTCCTTCTCCTCCTCCTCCTTCTTTCTCCTTCTCCTCCTCCTCCTCCTCCTCCTCCTCCTCCTCCTTAGGAGATGGTTCCGTGTATTTGCTCAAGGAACATCTCTTTTATTTATTAGCTCTGTAAGTTTACCTTTGCTGGAGAATGAGTTGACGTACGTGTGTGTGTGTGTGTGTGTGTGTGTGTGTGTGTGTTAGTTACCATTGTGTGTGTGTGTTCACCAAGATGTGTTCGCGGGGGATCGAGACTCAGCTCCTGGCCCCGCCTCCTAGACTACATTAATCGGCATCACAGATTTCTGAGTTCTTAAGTCTTACATAATTAAGGTATACAAAACAAAAATGTATTGTAGATGAATAAGGCGTGTGCAGCACTTGGGTAACTTTGTGGAGATGTTTCACCAACCAGTGGCCACTAGTTGGCGAAACGACCCCACAGTAAAGATACCCAAATGTTGCACCTGTGTCCTGTTCGCTCCCTTGGGCCTTATTGTATCTACTCCTGCAGCTGTGTATTGAGATTGCCTCCACTACTGCCTCATTCAACTCATTCCACTTTTCAACCAGCCTGAAACTAAGGAAATACTGTACTTCACTTTACATCCCCATGACTCACCTGTGTCTTCAGCTTCCACCTGTGTCCCTTTGATTGTGGCTCTCATAATTTAGTCTGTCCCTATCAGTTTTATCAATCCCTCTTAAGGTTTTGCATGTCTTAATCATGTCTTCCCTTGTTTTTTCCCTCCGTCAGGCTCACTTCCTTTGATTTCTGGCACTAAGTCTGTTACAAACCTTTGGACCCATGAGAACTGCGTACTTGACCAAGTGTGGGTTCTTTGCTGAGACCACATACGCAGTGATTGGCCTCATAACTTACATCGTGTATAAAGTTCAGAATCATTCTTTGTTCATGCTTCTGAATGCTGTTTTGAGTTTTGCTAATCTTGCACATGCCGCTGCCGTATTCTTCTCATTAGTTTTACATCGTCAGCAAACAGTGACACATAAACACATAAGACTTATTTCCCTCTGGTAGGCCATTCAAGTATCTTAGAAATAATAGCGGCCCTAATACTGATCCTTGTGGAACCCCACTCGTTACTCTCCCCCCTCCCATTTTGATCTTTCATTCTTTATTTACTGTTAGCCAATGCCTTCTGTCATTTAGGCACTCGACTCACTGGAGCACTGTCTTTTAACCCTGGCTGTAATACCGGTGTGGTACTGTATCAGATGTTCCCTTGCAGTCCAGGAAGATGTAGTCCACCCAGCCCTGTCTTTCTTGTAGTATTATCTCTGTGATTTGCATAAAACTCCAATAAATGCGTAAAACAGACTTTTCCATATTTAAAGCCGTGCTGGTTTTCAGTAAAAAAAATTGTCTCCAAGTGCTCTAATATCCTTTTGCTTACAATCTTCTGCAGAACTTGTAAGAGTATGAATGTTAAAGACACTTACTGGGTTGTAACTGTGAGTGGTTTATCTTGTTGCTTCCTGAGTAATCATCTTGGTCACAGGCAGGTGGAGACCTTCCTATGGTGCTCCAAGGTCCCCTCACCCACGCCTCCACCCACCCATGCTTTCACTCACGCCTCCACACCATGCTTTCACCCACGCCCCCACCCATCCATACTTTCACCCACGCCTCCACCCACGCTCAAACCTGCTTTGAAGAAACTGCGTACTGCTCTCTGGTATGGAGACAGTATAAGAAAAATCTTTCTTGTGAAAACGTTTACCGTCATTGATAAACTTTCTCAGTTCACCACTGAGGGAAACGTCATGATAGAAACTCTACATGTAAACTGCTACTTTATAATTCTTTTCACCATATACCAGCCAACAGAAGACAAAGCCACAAACTGTATAACAGACTTGTAGAACCTGTAAGTTACCTGTAGTGTCTTCCGGGGGTCGTCACCCCTGTGACCCGGGTGCTGACCTGACTGATCAGCCAGTTAGTGCCAGGCACCACAACCTGGGTTAGTCAGGAACCGACTTGAGGAACTTATTAAGTTCCCACTTGTAAACAGATGAGGGTGGGGGTTGTTAATTCCCCTTACGTATTAAAGGAGAGCGTTCAAGAATCTAGATCCCCTTACACTATTGAATTGTCTCTTAGTATTACTCATCGCGTCCCTGTTTTTCATTGTAAGTATTTTGCACTCTGCCAAACTTCCTGCATTAATGTGGAATGATTACTGTGTGAAGGTTTGCGACCAATCCCTCTAGAATCTTCCAGGTGTAGATTATGATGCATCTTTTTCGCCTACATTCTAAAGTGTACAGTTCAAGAGACTTAAAGCGCTCCCGCTAATTTAAGTCCTTGACTGAGCTTATACAAGCTGCGAAGATTTTCTGTACGTTTTGCAGTTAGGCAGTTTCACCTGTTTTGAAGGGGACCGTTAGTACCCAGAAATATTCTAGCCTAGAGAGTACAAGTGACTTGAAAAGTATCATCACTGATTCGGCATGTTTTGTTTTGAATGTTCGAGTTATCCAGCAAATGATTTTCCTTATCGTTTCGATAATAAATTGATTGTTGGATGTGAGATCCTCTTGATATTGTCACTCTCGAGTCCCTCACATTGAACTGCCGTTCTACAGAATAATTTGAGCATATCTTGCATTACTCAGACTTTAATTCCTCAATGTACCCATATCAGGATAACAGAAGTTTGTCTTCATTGAACGTTATATTACTGTTAGTGGTCCACTGGAAGGTTTATATCAGCTTGAAGGTTTGCTCTGTCCTCTACGACGCCATTCTTATATAGTATCGTGTGCAGAGGTTGATAAGATACCAGGGTTTATGTCTCTATGTCAGACATAACAATGATAAAGAGAAGTGGATTATTATTATCTTAATCAAAACTAAGCGCTAAACCCAGAAGGGTCATACAACGCTGCAAAAGAGAAGTGGAGCGAGTACTGTACTGTGAGGAATACAGCTCTTCACTGTGGCTGCCTCAGACTCCACTCTTACTCTCTGACTTATAGCTAAGAAATTATATATTCACTTGCTCACTTTCTCAGTTTCGCACTGTGTATACCATTATCATCTCGTGAAATTTGATATAGCTCTACACAGAGAGACACGTTGCCCCAGTAAGTTTGTTTTGCAGTTTCTCTTCATATGGCTCCTGTTATTCTTAGTACAGTAGGCCGCACCTGTAATTAAGGAAAAAACAAGAGTGTACTTATGTAACACCAGAGTGAACGCGAGAGTGGCTGCAGGAAGCATGTAATTCTAAATCAGCGTAGCATTTATCTCCGTATCAAAACATTTCTCTGTTTATCAAAATATTTATCTCCGCACACACCTTTTGTCTCCTTCACATTAAAGTTACACACAGTCAAACCTCTTCACCATCCTTCAGAGATTATATATATATATATATAAATATATATATATATATAATATATAATATAATCTAGATATATAAGGGGGGGGGGGGAACTGTATATTCCATCATGCCATCGGTATTTTTCTGTATGTTAATCAGACACTTTTCATTGCAGAAGTGATCAGCTGGAGACTGCTGGGTTAACTACCGTTCACTTAGTAAGTACTGACGTTAACTACAGAGTATTTCCCTCTCAGAGTAAAGTAAGAATTAGGTGACTTTTATGTGTCTACCCAGGGTTTAAATTACCTAACTTATCACCAGTACAGTATGTGTTTATTGGTTCCATTATATAAATGTGTCAGTAAATATGTAGAGTAAATATGTAAGTAAGATGAATAAAGGTCATGTTATTGTGAATATGTGTGTATACTGAGAGCTGTATGTCTGTATATCCGGTGTATATATCAGGAATTAAATGATTATAATTATTGACTGGTGGTAAACAGGTTACATGCAGTCTTAATGACCTTCGTCTTGGATATATGATTTAAACATTTAAACCCCATTAACCAACACAGTCACTTTAATTTATATATATATATATATATATATATATATATATATATATTATATATATATATATATATATATATATATTTATATATATATATATATATATAATATATATATATATATATATATATAATATATATATATATATATATCTCTTTTGCCGAATCAGTGAAACTGGTCAATTAGCAAGAACTCGTTTAAAATTAAGTCCTTTCAAAAATTTTCTCTTATACGTTTGAAGATACATTTTTTTCGTTTATATTAATGTAAAAATTAATAATTTTGTACCAAAAGAATCTTAAAAAACTTACCTAACCTTATTATAACAAGCTCAATTTAATTTAGCCTAATCCAGCTAAATATATTTTAGATAAGTTTACAATAATATAATAATAAACAAACAAAATGAAATAATTTTTTTCTTTAGATTCAGAACGATTTTTGCGAAATTATTCCTCACACAAATTTTCGCTTGCCTTATTCGGCAAGCGAAAATAGCAAGTTTTACTTTATATATATATATATATATATATATATATATATATATATATATATATATATATATATATATATATATATATAATATATATATATATATATGCATGCTAAACAAACACGGAGGAGTTAAATGATAGCTCTAGGCCTTTCGTGTTGCAGTCAACACGTCAGGAGCTTCCAGTGTTCCATAAGATGAAATCCCAGCAAAGATGTGCAGAGGAAGTCTTTTTTTTTCACAACTCTTCCTTTGAACATGTTTTCTGGAACTTCATCCTCTTTTCTGCAACATTGACAGCTCCTGATTTGTTGATTGCGACACGAAAGGCCTACAGCTATCGTTCATCTCCTTCCCCCCCGGTGGTTGTTTTGCATCTTGTATCGCTTGTTTGCGATTCTTGCATAATAAATGTCGGTGGCGGGGATGAAGTTGACGTAAGTGACAGATTATGTCAACATCCAACACCTTCCTGGGGCTGTTCTGGGGGGGGAGGGGGGTGTAAGCAAAACTGTGATAGTACTCTCATATACATAGTGCGTCGCTCCTGGTGTGTGAATTAGTATAGTTAGGTGCACAGTGCTTCTCCTGGTGTTTATGTCTCTGGTGTGTATCTGAAGGTATGTATATCCTGTTGTATAAGGCATAAGCATGCACTAGTGTAGTCTCATGGTGCGTGAGGCAGTATAGTCATGCACACAGTGTAGTCTGGTGTGTGAGGTAGTAGTCATGCACACAGTGTAGTCTGGTGTGTGAGGTAGTAGTCATGCACACAGTGTAGTCTGGTGTGTGAGGTAGTAGTCATGCACACAGTGTAGTCTGGCGTGTGAGGTAGTAGTCATGCATACGGTGTAGTCTGGTGTGTGAGGTAGTAGTCATGCACATAGTGTAGTCTGGTGTGTGAGGTAGTAGTCATGCACACAGTGTAGTCTGGTGTGTGAGGTAGTAGTCATGCACACAGTGTAGTCTGGCGTGTGAGGTAGTAGTCATGCACACAGTGTAGTCTGGCGTGTGAGGTAGTAGTCATGCACACAGTGTAGTCTGGTGTGTGAGGTAGTAGTCATGCATAGTGTAGTCTGGTGTGTGAGGTAGTAGTCATGCACACAGTGTAGTCTGGTGTGTGAGGTAGTAGTCATGCACACAGTGTAGTCTGGCGTGTGAGGTAGTAGTCATGCACACAGTGTAGTCTGGTGTGTGAGGTAGTAGTCATGCACACAGTGTAGTCTGGCGTGTGAGGTGGTGACGACATAGTCTATTAGCATCACAGTGTAGTCTGGTATGTGACAGAAGTCATTCATATGTAGTCTGGTGTGTGAAGACATGTATCGTCGTGTCTGTGTATTACAGCCAGTGTAAGTCTGGTGTGTGAGGTAGTAGTCATGCACGTGTATCTGGTGTGTGAGGTAGTAGCATGCACACAGTGTAGTCTGTGTGTGAGGTAGTAGTCATGCAACGTGTAGTTCTGTGTGTGAGGTAGTAGCCATGCACACAGTGTAGTCTGGTGTGTGAGGTAGTAGTCATGCACACAGTGTAGTCTTGTGTGTGAGGTAGTAGTCATGCACACAGTGTAGTCTGGTGTGTGAGGTAGTAGTCATGCATACGGTGTAGTCTGGTGTGTGAGGTAGTAGTCATGCACACAGTGTAGTCTGGTGTGTGAGGCAGGAGAGTCATGCACATAGTGTAGTCTGGTGTTTGTGAAGCAGTACAGTCATACACAGTCTACTGCCTCACACACCGGTAGACAACACTACACACAGACAAATTCATACATTCGTCAATGACCTTTAGAATGCGTGACGTCAGCTACTATAAGCTTGATACAAAACACTCTTACTGGCCTCCCACACCAGGCTGGTGTAACCGACCATGTATACTATTACATTCACAATTTAACCGTAAAGTTCGATTTCATTATTATTTGCTGGTGTGTGAAGAACATGTGTTATCGTCGTTGTCTCTGTTATGACACAAGCCAGATGTACACCTGCCGTGGAATTATTTACACGTATATCACGTGTAATTATGAGGCTTGATACCTGTCATATGAGGATGCACTCTATAGTGATCCTTTGTCATTTTAAAAGGAGTGAAAGCCTTGTTCTGTTAGTCAGAGAATGCTGAGCCACTTACCGGGTCATTATCTCATTAAGTCCCATGTCAGGAGACACTATTCGTGTTTCCTGACAAACAAAACACCACCACCAAGATCCGTGTCAATAGACATCTATTTCCCGACGAACTAAACACCACTACCAAGACTCGTTCGTGTCAGGAGACACTTACGTTTCCTGACGGGCAAAACTCCACAAACTCCAGTTAGTAACACATAAGCTAAGTTGCCGGCTTCCAGAGTGGCAAGGTAAGAGAGAGACTAACAGGCTGACTGTCACAGATCAGTCTATCGGTTTAACCGATAGACTGATTTACTATATTTCACTAGCAGCTCAGTACTACTTAATTTAGTTGAGTTACGCTAACTTGCAGTAGCTGTGGCTCTCTCAATCAGTGTGTTTAACCGAAGTGGCTCTCTTGCAAAAATTAGTGAATAACACCCATCCTCTTAATCACCAACCCATCCTCTCAGTATCTAGGTCCAGTTCTCACTGGTTTGCAGAAAATTTCTCGGTTAGGCTACGTTACGCTACGTTATCCTTTATTTACAAAAAAAAAAAATTATAACATACCATAATGAATAAAACAACATGAAAATAAGATTAAAGGCGATAAAGATCTCAGCATATCGAACAGAAAACGGGCTGCCACTAACTGCGCTCTGCGTAAGTCATAATACCACTGTATAAGGCGCCATTATTAGTCTTCCATTTGACTGTGTTTACACCAGTGAAATAATGTCTGTGATTAAAACCCGCTATGTTAAGCACAGCCATGATTTCACTGCTGTAAAAGACTGTCAAATGGGTGACTATTGATGGCGCGTTCACTACTATTAGCGCTGGATGACCTCCCCCCCCTCCTTCCCACGGGATTAGTGCTTCATTAAGTGTAATGATACGGGTAATGTGTTTCATGAAGGTTATTGGTCTCAGGTGTTGCACGGTGGCCGGTCAGTATTTTGTCTGGTAAAGGTAAGAGGAATTTTTTAAAAGTTTTAGTTTTGTGGTTTCACTTGAAGCACAGAAAGATACAATACCATGACTGGAACAATACACAAATAACCTGCACATAGGAGCAGCTTACGACGACGTTAAATAACACTCGTGTACAGTTCAGAACATTTAAAACGTTTCGCCACCAATATCTTCGTTAGGACTGATGAAGCCACTCGTTGCGAAACGTTTCCTGAACTGTCAACGTCTGCATCGAGTGGTGCATTCTTATACTTCACCAACAACAGAGCGAAACGTTGTTTCTTTGAAAGCTGTTTCCGAAACGTCGTCTTTTCACTGCAGCTTACAAGCATGACAATCAGTTGGCTTCTCACGTAAATATAAGAGATATTCAGAAATCTTTGCCACTTTATTAGTAGTGTACTGCAGTGGCTCGGTATTGTGGATAAGTTGAAGAACGATGGACTGAACACATCAACTCTAGGCTGAGGGACTGATTGCCTCATTCTCCTCGTCTTTCACCGTTTTTCTCTGTACTGGACCGAAGAAGCCCTGGCTGGCGAAACGTTTCCTCAATAAAGATTCCCAAATATTACACAAGTGTCTCATTCTTCAGTTTGTCGGTTTTCTAAGTCATTACATCACATTATGGATAAGGCCTCACTCTGTCAGTTGAGGACTGTTAAGTGGGATCAGTAAGTGGATGGGTGACCAGCAGAACAGCCTCCTTCCCAAGATGAACTGCTCTACGAGTCACAGACTTTGTAGCCGAAACAGTATAAGTTTCTGTTACAACTTTGACATAACACGCTGACAGTGTCTTCAGGATGGGATGTTTGTGTTCTGTGTGCACTCAACATGTGTGGTGTACACACATGGTAGTGTGCGAACATGATGTATACACATGGTGATGTACACACGCGTCCCAACCAGTCTTTGAGAGTTGAATTTCACGAATGAGTGAAACTGAACCAAGGACTTTTCAACCTCTCACTTGATATTGTGTCATCCCGACCTAGACGACCTCACTAGGGCGACGATTAATTATTATTATTATTATTATTATTATTTATTATTAATG